TAAATTTACATTTTTCTAAATTATTCCTGTCAAGATGGCCGCCATTTAAGAAATTCCTGTCTTTCCTGCCAGTCTGCCAGGACAATTGGGACATTATGATTGGTCAATTTTGACAGTCCTGGCAAGTTCAGAGTCTATATAAGTAGCCATGCCAGGCTGTCTTCACTTTTCATTTTGGCTCCAAATCCTGACAGTCGTGAAAACTAGTGACAACTTAATAAATTGGTAATTTTCTTATTTTATACAACTGTCTATTATTTGTTATGAATATCTGGTGCTCTTCAGAGTTGAATAAAAGAATGTTGGAACTTTGTTATCAATAAAAGTTATTATTTTCAACAGTTTTGACTTAGCTTACAATATTATTGCTGATAATTGCTGGACAGAGCTATCTTTTGATGAAATAATGATATAGTGATATTATTGCATTTACGGTATTAAGTGACATTTTAATCTAACATATACCGCTAATCGAGATATTTAGAAATTGTAGATTTTGATTCGAATTTGAAAAAAATGTTCATTTGAATGTTAGGAAAGGACATTTTATATCATTTAATTTCATTTTTATTTGAATATCAAAATTAAAGTTTGACAAGATTTAAGAGAAAATGTTACTTCTTACAAAAAATAGAAATAGAGAAAAAATAGTTCAAAATAAGTGCATTTGAATTAAACAATATATATCAAACATAAAAATTCAAGTGCTAAGAAATAATTGTTCAGAAAATGTAAAAGAAAACCTCACCTAAGGGTTATATATTTTGTATCAGTGCGAGATGAAGAGTTGTGGTTCATATTTTTAGACTGCTAAACAGCAGATGTCAAGTGGCGTGTGACAGCTATGAAAGGTTTCCAGTATTTAACTGCGGTATCGTTATATTTTTCTGGTCCTTCGGGATCATATATTCCAGCACTTTCAGTGTTGTAAATGGCAAATTTCAAAAATTTTGTTATAATTTTAGCTGACGAGGGATCACTGTTTTCAAGATTTTGATACATTTTTACATTTTATTGTTTTTGCCGGGTAGCATTACATACACTTTTTAATGACGCGACAACGTCCTTACGTTCAAATGTTCATGATGATGTTTTATTTTGATAGCGCTTATTCAACTGAAGTATTCTTATTGTATTATGGTTGTAAAACAGGAAAAATATAACATCAAAGATCAACAATGCAAGGAGAGTTGCAGAGAACACAACCCTCGACGAAATTAAGTCACACTGGACTATCGGAAAGGGCCCAGTAAGGAAGGAGCGGGCATACAAACTGGAACAGGGATCGGCCGTACCAATAGATGATAACAAAGTAAAGAAACGCTTAAAAATATCAAAGATCTATAAAACATCTTAAGTGCAAATAACACAGCTGTATAAAATTGTAATAATAATCTCATAAATATGATCTCCATTGAATCATTTTAGAGTTAAATATGCGCTAGTAATAAGAATAAGTTTGCAAACAGAAATGCATGAAGTCAGGCTTGCAACTTAAAATGCGCTTGGACAAGATATTTATGTGTATTAAACTTTTTTGGAATATGCAAATTAATACACTTATGCCAAAATGTAAAACCCCAACAAACAAACCAAACATTTACACAGTATTGACGGAAACATATTTTGTCTTCTTTGGTGGACTTCAAAACTTACAGATGTGAATAAATGAGCATAAACCACTCTGGGTTTTTGATTGTCAAATCTAAAAGTATGTTCATGGCCAGTCTTCAATAACTTCGTCAATTAAAAATCAAGGAAACTGATACCTAAAACTTGATGTGTCATAAACATAGCCTTAAGGAATGGGCATATTAATCTTTTTAAAAAAAAAACTTACTTGAACCCAGTTCACGTGCTGCCGATTCATATATGTATCTTCTATTTTCATCATATATAATGCTAAGTGTGTCTACTTGAGTATATAAAAATATTCAATCTTGTTGCAACATTATACATCATTAAAATGCCCAAATTTATAAAAAAATACTATGTTCTGTTCATGTCATATTGTTAAAATTTTTATAGTATGAAAACTTGTAAAGTAAAATAGTGGAACACCCCCGACCCATTTTATTTATGACGGGAATAATAAACTTTTTGTTTCAAAAAATAAAACAATAATTAATTTAAAAGTATTATCGTTCTCGTCTCTCAAATTCTCTAGTTTGTCTAGAAACAATATCATATGACATGAATTGGTTTGGTTTAAATTCACAGTGAAAATGTTAAATGGCAATTTCGGCTAGACTGGGAGTGGTGGGTGGAAAGAAAACTCAAAACTCCTTGAACCAGAAAAGTCCTGAGCGGGAACTTAATTAAAATCACCGGACTTCCGTAAGCTAGCTGGAGGACAAGTGACTGAATGTCAGTAAGGTGCCTTCATAATTTGCAAGTAATAAGAATGAAATGACAAAAGCAAATACCAACAACATGTCTAGCTTTTTTTTATTCAGACCTACCAATATGTGCTGGGTTAGCCATATGTTATTAAAATATGGTGTCTTCCCTCTGAAATACTGTTTTAGAAGCAATTTCTTGTCTATGATGTAAACAATTATCGTAAGTGGATATGTTCCTGACTTAAACATTTAGATAAATATACATGTGGATCATTTCTAAATCGTTATACATTTTAAAGGATCTGAAGCGTACGCACAAGCCTATCATCAACCCTGTGCTTATAACAAGATTCCGTTTTGCTACGGCCAACATGTCTTCTACGAATTGTTCATGTACATGTAGTTCATTTAGTATTTCAGGCCGGAACCTCGTCAAGGTTCCTAAGCTGAGCTTGTTAGGCCGTTTTGGAAGTGTTTCTTTTCTTGTAATTTACATCAACTTCTTTTGTAATTATTTCCAATGTTATTGAGAATGCTTATCTCTATATCCTTAATTAGTTATATAAACCATATCAGTTTCTATACATCTTAGATTTTACTTGTTTACTTTTCATTATAACTTCACTGGGTTTGGTAACAATTTGCATGAAACTTATTCTGACAGTTACATAGATTATTCAATCTTGTCTTAAATATTTCAGAATTCAATGATGTAGCTTCTACGACTTCAGGACTTTACGTATTCCAAGAATCCACAACTCTATGGCTTAAAGTTTTTTTTTCTTGTGTTATGTCTTGCCATTGGCTTGAATATTTTTATACTTGTGACCTCTGGTTGTGGTTCCTTCTTGTGTTTTGAATATTTCATTATCTTTTTCCTTATCAATGTTGTTAACTATTTTATAATTTTCAATCATGTATGATCTATTTGTTCTGTATTCTAAAGTTTGAATGCCTAATTGCAACAGTCTTTCGCTTTATTCTTTCCAGCTAATTCACTTAATACTCTAGTGGTTCTTCTTTGCACATTTTCAATGGATACTGCATCTTTTTTTAATTTAGGTGACCGAATTGCAGAACTGTACTCAAGATGAGGTCTTACAAGAGATTTGTAGAGTTGAAGAATCATTTTTTGTTTGTTTTTTAACTATTAGTCCTCCTAAATTTCTATTTGTCTTATTTACTTTACTGCTTATATGTATACTGAATGTCATTTTGCAGTCGAAGATCACGCCTAGGTCTTTTTTTTCTCATTTACTTGTTGAATTATGCAGATACTATTGCTCGAGTCTTACATAAAAATAATTACATGTTATGTTTTATGTGTAACTGATTGAGGTAATTCTATTCTTGATACATTCAAATCATTAAACATAATTTCGATGTAAATAGAAGAAATTATATAAGATTTTATCTACTAGTATTAAAACAGTATTTAATTTTCATGCACGATCTTTTCGAAAAAGATAACGTCGTTTATAAACAGTTTTGCTAATTTTCTCTTTGAAATGATGTTGGTGGACCTAACAGGTTATCTTTATCCCTATAGTATTTATAAAACAAATATGAATAACTTACATATTTTCTATTTCAAGATCTTTTGCTGTTACAAACATTGCAATATGATCCAAGATAGATCTGTTATACAGAACTCGAAGCAAATGGAAAAGCAAATTAAAAGTTAATAACCAGGTTGTCAAGTATGGATTCAAACTGACTTCAGGAATTGTTTACAGTCTCGGTTCATTGCAAGATTTAACATGTATGGCAATTTCTTTTCACTGATGGAAGGAAAGCTAGGCTACATAGCAAAACAAATGAATATATAATTAACGATCAGATGCAAATACGCGATGACTGTGGATGTTTCTCTGATAAAGGTGATTCCGGTTCAATGGTTTGGTTTTTGTTACAAACGAACGGAAACAACTGACGGTCCTGGGTATTCTTATTGGCCGTGTAGATGAAACGAAAACGACCTTCGTAACGCCAATCTTGAATATATTAAAGGAAATACAAATGCAAAGACCATATACATCGGCTGAACCTCGAAACACACAAATGGTTATAGAGGAACTAAAACGTACAGCATTCTTGCTTGCAGGCAAATGTGAAGCTTTAACAAGAGTATTAAAGTTAAAGTAGTTCCTCGTAGAAAAACTACTTTATTCCGTAGCATTAAAATAGAGAAAACAGAATCCCTAAAGAAAGTCCAACACCACAAAATTGATAATGTACACCCGTACCAAAAGGAAAGGTTTGCCGTAAACTCGCCGCAACTTTGCCGCAAATTCGCTGCAAACCTTTTAGTTGGCTGAAACACTGTGTCAAGAGTTTGCCAGATATCGCCACTAGTGGCAACTCTGTAGCAAACATTTGGCGACTTTGCGGCAAATTCACCAGAATATTAAGTTGTTCGCCAAAAGTTTGACAGAAACTTTCAGTGGAAAACTAATTTGCCAGAGATTGCGAGAATCTTTCTATCAAAAAAAATATTCACTGAAAGTTCACCAGAAACTTTTCTATAAAAACAAGTTTGCCAGATAATCGCCACAAACACATCAGTTCTGAAAGTTAATCCAACTTTGTTCAGTAAATAACTATTTTGCCAAGGAATTATATTATTATGCACATATAAAAAAAACGTCCTTCATGTACCTATACCTATATATAACCTACCTACCTACCTACCCAACCCTATTTTAATGGGTCGGGAAGTGGAAACAAACATATTTTTATTTTTTGCCTAAGAGTTATCAAATTGAAACATCATATGTATCATGGAGGGTATTGTAGTTCACAATAACAGTTAAAAAATTATAAGGTAGAAGACCCATAATGAAATCGGCAATCTTCGACAATTACCGCCATATCTCGCCATTTATCGTAACGAACTTCGTTTGTTTACGTATAAAGTCGGAATTCTAATAATAGCGGATATCCCCGGTCACGTGGTAGTATTCCCCAAGAAAATGACGTAATTTCCGTAGATATCTAACATGGCGTCTTACAGGCGTGATACGCTCGGTCGATTCAAAAAAAGTGTAAAAAGATGCAGAAAACCCAAGTATTGCGACTTAATTATAGAACATAACTATAGTGCAGGTAACCAGTATTACGGGTCAACCAAACCAGCTCTACAAAACATCAACTCTTCCTAAATCGGTTGATAATGAGGGTTGGAATCGTTGTCGTTGAGTTTGGCGTGTTACGCTGTTACGGTCAAACCTAAGATTTTGTAAAAAATGTAGACTTGGACCAGTAGGCTACCATTAACTTTTGACAACATGTTAGGTGAATTTAAACAGGGTGTGTCTGGATATTTGTATGTGAAATGTCGAAACACAGAATGCGGTCATGTGAATTGTGTTCCCTATGGAAAAACACATAGACTCTAGTAGTAGATTGAAGACCTGGGAAAGTTGGAATGCCATGTTTCGTTGTCAACACAAAATTAGGACCAGGTAAGTGATTAATGTATTGCATCATACTTTAGATTAAGTACTATATACTGATTATGAATTCATAGATGTAAGGTATCGTACCAAAATGAATATACATTTATCAGTGTTTATCTACTTGTCTTCCAATGATGTCAAACATGTAAAATTATGAGGGAAATTATGCGGACCAAATTTATGTTTCAGATTTATAAATAATTAATTTATTATACAGAATACATGTATCTTGTTTGTGTTGAGCTGTAAAACACTACCAGTGATTTTTTACCTCTGCATCCTGAGTCCAGAACTCATTAAATTTGCTGTGGATGCAAAGTTTCAAATAATGTGCATCTTTTGGATGCATACTTTTTCTGAGTAGAAAGTCCTGTCCGACAGGAATTTGGTAATAAATACCAAATTGTGTTCAATTTATGTCAATCATATTCTAGGTCTGCAAATCTTCTACAGATAAGAAATAATAATGTGCTTTACTATAGATAAGCATAAAAATATTAAGTAAAATGAAGTTTTGATTAATCTCAAACTAAATCAATGGAAATAAATTTATTAAATTTATTTGACAGTTATGAATAATTTCAGTATCAGAAGCATTGTAATTAATGTAGAATTCAAATTCATTTTTTCTTCATTCCATTGTTAATATACCTTTCATATCACTAAATCAATATTAAGCCTAACCTTGTAACTTGGATTTGTCGGATAAATTTTGGGACACATAGATTTATAGTCCAGCGAGTCCTAGGACCCACACTGATGAGTTTGTAAAAAAATCTCAGACTACTCCTTATTGTGAAGGAAGTGGCTAGCCGTACGTACGGGCCCGTACGGCTAGCCAAAAGTTCTAGCCGTACGTGACTCACGTACTCCATATAATTTTGAAAAGTGCCGTACCGCTAGCCAATACAGTGTGTCCTGGCTAGTCGTACATGACTCACGTACGGCTAGAACTTTTGGGTAGCCGTACGGGCCTGTACAGCTAGCCACTTCCTATTGTGAATTTTTTTATAAACTTCCCTCTGAACTGTTTTAATTTCCCCAAAGTCACTGAGAAACTTGAAAAACAAATGATAAAACGTTGCTAAATTAAATCTTGCAACAATGCAATTTTTATTAAGACATTACAGAATCCTACATGTACATTATATAAAAGACACAGTTTACACTAGGCTGCCAATACACACAGTCACAGTAATATTCAACATACAATGTACATGAGGCAGCTAAAAATAGCTATATAAATTTATGCAATGTGTTATTATCACGGTTATGTAAATTACAATCCATGTGAAGTTTTTTTTTGACAAAATATTTGTATACTTAAATGAAATAATTTGTTTCTTTTCATTTTCTTACAGCAATGATTGATAGTGTAGGTGGGCCGGTGAGGGGAGGGTCATCAATTTGTTGTCAACACTCAATATACCAACAATTGGAAATAAAAACATGAAAAGAAATGGAGAGACGCGTTGGAAATATCATTGAGACAGTGGCTTCTATGTCGACAGAATCTGCTGCGAAAGATCAAGGAAATGGAGTAAGACACATTTACAATGATATTTTCGAAATAACATGTAATTGAATTGGAAGAATTTGAAAAAGTATTTTGTAATTATTATGCCTATGCATCTTATCATGGTATAATCCTATATTGCTGGTATACTCGTGGTTTAGGGAACCAAAGAATATTATACAATCCATATATATATGAGAAAAGAATTTTTAAACAATGGCTTTGTTGTTTTTGCATGTTACTCTATATTCATGTACATATTTTTTTTTTCAAAATAACATGAATGTGTAATTGTATTTTAAAAAAAAGTATTTATTTCTACATGACAAACTGGGTCCGCCTGGGCTCCTTGCCATTGGTACTTGTTGCTGGGTCATATGGGGGTTGCGTTCATTGAACGTCTCCTTTCCTTGTTGATCTTGTTTATCATATTTTACCTTCATTGGTTTAAGACTAAAATTCTTATTAAATACATGCATTCTTTTTAAGGGATGTGCATCATGAAGAATCAATGGTATCAGAACACAACATCATGGAAGGTCTTATTGACAAGATCTTGGAGGATGTACTTTGCCAGATGCCTCGCCAGCACTAAAGTGAGTACTGGTAGTTTGTTTTCTGTATTTTGTTTATTTACGAAAGTAAAGGACTATGCAAAACTGACTGGTGTTGTTGAACTGTTTGTGTTATCTCAGTTGCTTCAATATATGAATATCTCTCCATATACTGTTTGTACATATGTATTTTTTTTTATTCAAGGTCTATTCTTCAGTCAGATGCTACAGTTACAAATGACAGTGAATGGTCAGATTTATACAATTGTGATGAACAATCCTCAACAATACATCAAACAAAAATGCCTATTAAACTGTAAGTTGAAATCTATGAGTTTTTTTTTATATATATATATTTATAATCATGGTGTAGCAATTAAATGATAATACTGTGATAATTTTGTAATGCTATTTGGGGTCGTCTTCAATAGAAACAATTTGATGTATCTTCATGTGATGAATAATCGATATGCAGTCCGAATTATTTCATAAAAGTCGACAGATTACTAAAATTGGTCAGGAAAAAGTCGTGCAATCAGCATTAATAATTAACAAAACTAATTCTAGTATGAACATTGTGTTACATTAATTATAAATAAGTTATTGTCAATTCATTGGTGTAGTTTCTCAATATTTGTCAATATTACGTTTAAAGATGAATTTTAAATTACAGAAAATATTTTTGAAATATTTTTACAATTACAGTTCTCACAGACAGTCAAAGGTTGAAAACAAATCAGAAGTGGTCCACATCTTGAAAAACCTCACAGCAGATTAAGACTTTCCCCGAAATTTCCCTGTAAAACCCGCAGTGGTATGTCCAGTGCAGTAGATACTGCCTGGCACAAAAGAGGATTTGACAGTTTAACATGTAAGTAAAGTATTATATAAGATTATTTTTATGCTCCCACAATGTGGGAGCATATAGCGTTGCACTTGTCAGTTTGTCCCAAAATCTTGTGAACACAACTCCTCTTAAACCGGATGGCAGATTTTGCTTAAACTTACAGGGATGAACAACCTTAATGTGTAGATGGTAGTTAAGGAAGGAATTTTCGCTGCGACCAAATTTAACAGAATTATGGCCCTTTGTTGATTTTTTCACTATATGCTATGTAGAAATTTTGTGAAAGCAACTCCTCTTAAACCGGATGGCAGATTTTGCTTAAACTTCCAGAGATGAACAACCTTAATGTGTAGATGGTAGTAAAGGAAGGAATATTTGCTGCAACCAAATTTAACATAATTATGGCCCTTTATTGATTTTTTCACTATATACTATGTAGAAATTTTGTGAACGCAACTCCTCTTTAATCGGATGGCAGATTTTGCTTAAACTTCCAGGGATTAACAAACTTAATGTGTAGATGGTAATAAAGGAAGGATTTTTTGCTGCAACCAAATTTAACAGAATTATGGCCCTTTGTTGATTTTTAGTTTGCAACTTGTGGCACATGTAGTCCAAAAACTATTTGACCTAGAGTCGTAAGATTGACAGAACAGTGGCGTGTGGGGGCATCCGTGTCCTATTGACACATTTCTAATTTTTCTCAGTTATCATGTCAGTAATGATTTAGAATTTGTCAGAAAAGTATCTGTGTATATTTTAACCACTGTTATTGATGTATAATTGAAAAAGTGAGTTTTGCATACAAGTAAGACTGGTTAGTCAACATTGTTCTTTCAAACAGTGGCATTTAGAAGAAAAATCCTAATGGTTATTTGAATGACCCTGGTTTTAACTTTGAGCTCTGACCTGGCTGTCATGTTCACAGCATGCATCATTTTTGTGTCGCCTCTACGGAGTAGTGGCGACATATAGGGATCATTTCTCCGACGTCCGTCCGTATTAAGTCCGTCCCCAGACTACTCCTCATAAACTACTGGTGCAATTTTATCCAAACTTAACAGAAATGATCAGTATCAAGTCTAGTTGTGCATTTTGTCAGCATTTTCCGGTTCAATGATTTTTGTCAGAGTTATGGCCCTTTAATAATTTTTATTTTTAAAGTTTGTCTGGACTATTTCTCTTATACCACTAAAGCAATTTTAATGAAACTTTACAGGATTGATCTGTAGCTTAAGACCTTGTGCATATTGCACGGGTTTTCCGGTTGAAGGATTTTTGGCCGAGTTATGGCCCTTTGATAAAAAGGTGTTTTTTTTCTGTGTGTTGCCAGATACACAAAAGTTTGTCCAGACTACTCCTCATAAACTACTGGTGCAATTTCATCCAAACTTTACAGGAATGATCAGTACCAAGTCTAGTTGTGCATATTGTCAGCATTTTCCGGTTCAATGATTTTTGTCAGAGGTATGGCCTTTTTTTAAGTTTGTCCAGACTACATCTCTTATACCACAAATGCAATTTCAATGAAACTTTACAGAATTGATCTGTTGCTCAAATCCTTGCACATATTGCACAGGTTTTCCGGTTGAATGATATTTTGGCAAGTTTGATGAAAAGGTGTTGCCAGATACACAAAAGCTTGTCCGGACTACTCCTCAAAAACTACTGGTGCAATTTCATCCAAACTTTAAAGGAATGATCAGTACCAAGTCTAGTTGTGCACTGTCTGTCTGTCTGTCCGTCTGTCACAAAACTTGTCCCAACATGAAATTGGCCATCATGAGGCGACACATGTGATCACTGATCGCTCTTGTTTGTTATTTTGGTGTGTTTTTAACATAATACCTTGATTTCTTAACTAAGTTAGATAAACTTATAATATATGAGCCACTTGTCATTTGTAAATAAATCTAGGTTTTGCAATGCAAATACATGTTCATCCCAACAGATTAAAATCAAGCCAGCACCAGTGTATTGACCAATAAATAATAATTGCCTTTGGTGTTTATTTTCTTCATTTGTAGGTAGGCTTTACTAATAGATTACTGCCACTTTATTTCAAGGTGGGGTTTTGGGGTATCATTCACCTTCAGTGATAGTTCTAGTTTTATTCAGTATAAACATGGTTACATGTAAATGAAAAATAAACCTTGTTTTGTTTCAGTGTACTGCATCAATAAACTAAATATGGAGAGTAGCTTAGTCACCAAAGCAGTCAACACCAAAATACACACAATGGCCAGGGCACTGAAACTTGGAAGAGTGAAAGAGTAAAGTAGTGCGTTTTTAGCTTACAAAGTGACATTGCGAGCTTTTGTCTATCTTTCGTCCGTAAACTTGATCTTTAAACAGCATCTCATAAATTGCCGAGCCAATTTCATGCAAACTTACAATATTGTCTAGTCAGTTTTTGTTTTGCTTGCAATCGTTATATGACATGACTAAAGACATTTAGTTTTATTCTTAAGTTATTATGTTTATGTTTGTATAAGACCCAAATATATTGTTAAGATTCATTTTTACACATTTGAAAGCCATTATTGTTCTAGTCAGTTTTTGTTTTGCTTGCAATCGTTATATGACATGACTAAAGACATTTAGTTTTAATCTTTAATAATTATGTCTATATTTGTATAAGACCCAAAAATATTGTTAAGATTCATTTTTATATGCCCGAAAGGGCATATTATGTTATACCCCCTGGCGTCTGTCCGTCCGTTAGCAATTTGGTTTCCGGAGCATAACTTAAGTTCCATTTGGCCCACAATGTTCAAACTTCATAGGGTGATTGCCCATATTGGATAGAAGACCCCTATTGATTTTGGGGTCACAAGGTCAAAGGTCAAGGTCACTATTACCTTGATACTGAAAACAGTTTCCGGAGCATAACTTAAGTTCCATTCGACCCACAATGTTCAAACTTCATAGGATGATTGTCCATATTAGGTAGAAGACCCCTATTGATTTTGGGGTCAAAAGGTCAAAGGTCAAGGTCACTATGACCTTAAAACTGAAAACAGTTTCCGGAGCCTAACTTAAGTTCCATTCAACCCACAATGTTCAAACTTCATAGGATGATTGTCCATATTGGGTAAAAGACCCCTATTGATTTTTGGGTCACTAGGTCAAAGGTCAAAGTCACTATTACCTTGATACTGAAAACAGTTTCCGGAGCATAACTTAAGTTCCATTTGGCCCACAATGTTCAAACTTTATAGGATGATTGTCCATATTAGATAGAAGACCCCTATTGATTTTGGGGTCACAAGGTCAAAGGTCAAGGTCACTATTACCTTGATACTGAAAACAGTTTCCAGAGCATAACTTAAGTTCCATTTGGCCCACAGTGTTCAAACTTCATAGGATGATTGTCCATATTGGGTAGAAGACCCCTATTGATTTTGGGGTCAAAAGGTCAAGGGTCATGGTCACTATATCCTTAAAACTGAAAACAGTTTCTGGAGCATAACTTAAATTCCATTTGGCCCACAATATTCAAACTTCATAGGATGATTGTCCATATTAGGCAAAAGACCCCTATTGATTTTGGGGTCACTAGGTCAAAGGTCAAGGTCACAATTACCTTAAAACCAAAAACAGTTTCCGGAGCATAACTTAAGTTCCATTTGGCCCACAATATTCAAACTTCATAGGATGATTATCCATATTGGATAGAAGACCCTTATTGATTTTGGGGTCACAAGGTCAAAGTCACTTTTACCTTAATACTGAAAACAGTTTCTAGAGCATAATTAAAGTTCCAATTGGCCCACAATATTCAAACTTCTTAGGATGATTGTCCTAATATAAGGTAGAAGACCCCTATTGATTTTGGGGTCACAAGGTCAAAGGTCAAGGTCATTATTAATAACTTAAGTAGAAATCAACCTACAGCTGTAAAATTTTATAGGATGAACAGCGAATTCCATGTCTTACAAATGCTTCAGCCTTACTAAAAAAAACAGTTTCGGGCATATAATGCTCCGCCTAGCGGTGCTCTTGTTACAATTTTGAAAGCCATTATTGCTCTAGTCTGTTTTTGTTTTGCTTGCAATCGTTATATGACATGACTAAAGACATTTAGTTTAAATCTTTAGTTATTATGTCTATGAGGGGCGTCCGTGGCCGAGTGATTAAGGTCATTGACTTCAAACCACTTGCCCCTCACCACTGTGGGTTGGAATACCGACAGGGACTTTGGATTCTTTCGTGTGAGGAAGCTATCCAGCTAGCTTAACTGAACGTCGGTGGTTCTACTCAGATACCCGTTCGTGCCTGAAATAATGCAAGGAAGGGCACCTGAACGTCACGATATGACCTATACTGTGTCGATGTGACGTAAAAACCCAAAACAAACAAACAAAAAATTATTTCTATGAAATTAGTTGTTTGTATAAGACCCAAATATATTGCTGTGATTAATTTTAACAATTTTGAAAGCCCTAATTGTTCGTGTCAGATATTGTTTTGCTCACAATCATAATGTTATATGACATGAGTTTAAATCTGAAGGTATTATGTCCATGAAATATGTTGTTTGTATAAGACCAAAATATATTTTTTGAGATTCATTTTTACAATTTTTGAAAGCCATTATTGGTCTAGTTTGTTTTTGCATAACACATAACGCTATTGTTAGTATTTATTGTTATTAATAGTGATTGTCTAAGTGGATGTCGAAGTATGTATGTTATTCCATGCCAGTTCATGTTTGAATGAAACTTTTGTCCAGATAGAAGATTTCAAACTGTAACTTTTCTGATTTTTTAGCTTTTACAACAATATTATATTTCCCATTTTTGGTGCTAAGAAATACTGCAACATGTGCTGAATAATAGCTATTGTCAAACATTGTTTTTATGCTCCCCGAAAAATTTCAGGGGAGCATATAGTCATCGGGTTGTCCGTCCGTCTGTCTGTATGTACATACGAACCCGAATTCGTGTCCAGCCCATAACTTTGTTATTTCAAGTTGGATTTTAAAACTATTTCACAGAAATGATCACCATATTGAGACGACGTGTCACCCGCAACATTTGGGTCGCTACCTTGAAGGTCAAGGTCACACCATGACCTTGAACAAAAATCATGTCCGGCCCATAACTTCGTTATTTGAAGTCGGATTTCAAAGCTATTTAAAAGTAATGATCACCATATTGAGACGATGTGTCGTGCGCAACATTTGGGTCGTTACCTTGAAGGTCAAGGTCACAGCATGACCTTGAACAAAAATTGTGTCCGGCCCATATCTTGGTTATTTGATGTAGGATTTTACAACTATTTCACAGAAATGATCACCATATTGAGACGATGTGTCGCACACACCATTTGGGTCAATACTTTGAAGGTCAAGGTCGCAACATGACATTGAAGCAAAATGGTGTCCAGCCCATAAATTCGTTATTTGAAGTCGGATTTTACAACTATTTCACCGAAATGATCACCATATTGAGATGATATGTCACACGCAAGATTTGGGTCATTACCTTGAAGGTCAAGGTCACAGCATGACCTTGAAGCAAAAATGTGTCTGGCCCATAGCGTCGTTATTTGAAGTGGGATTTTACAACTATTTTGGAATTATCAGACTTTGAACTTTGTCTGGGACATAACCCTGAAACTTATATACTATATATACTTTTCTGTGTCCAAATCCTAGTCGGGGAGGATCACCCCGGTTCAATAGGCTCTTGTTTTAATTGATTATTAAGTAATATGAACAATTCATGATAGCATCATAACTAAAGAGTGGAAATTTATGAAAGTCAAATATGTATAGAATCAGTTGCTAATAAAATGTGTGTAAAATTTATCTCTTTTTAGCTCACCTGTCACAAAGTGACAGGGTGAGCTTTTGTGATCGCTTTTCGTCCGGCGTCCGTCGTCCGTCCGTAAACTTTTACTTTAAATGACATCTCCTCATAAACCACTAAGCCAATTTCATCCAAACTAAAAAGGAATGTTCCTTTGGTGGTCACCTTTAAAAATTGTTCAAAGAATTTAATTCCATGTAGAACTCTGGTTGCCATGGCGACCGAAAGAAAAAAACTTTAAATATCTTCTTTTCAAAAACCATAAGAGGTAGAGATTAGATATTTGGCATGAAACATCTTCCAGTGAGTGTCTACCAAGTTTGTTCAAATAAAAGCCCTGGGGTCAAAATTGGCTCCGCCCCGGGGGGTCATTGATTTTCCCTATATGCATATAGTAAAAACTTAAAAAATCTTCTTTTAAAGATCCAAAAGAGTTAGAGCTAAGATATTTAGCATGAAACATGTTCTAATAAGTGTCTACAAAGTTTGTTCAAATAAAAGCCCTGGGGTCAAAATTGGCCCCGCCCCGGGGGTCATTGATTTTCCCTATATGCATATAGTAAAAACTTAAAAAATCTTCTTTTAAAGAAATCAAAGAGCTTTGGCTAAGATATTTAGCATCAAACATGTTCTAATAGGTGTCTACCAAGTTTGTTCAAATAAAAGCCCTGGGGTCAAAATTGGCACCGCCCCGGGGTCATTGATTTTCCTTATATGTGTATAGCAAAAAACTTAAAAAATCTTCTTTGAAAAAACCAAAATAGCTAGAGTTAAGATATTAAGCATGAAACATCTTTTAGTGAGTGTCTACAAAGTTTGTTCAAATAAAAAGACCTGGGGTCAAAATTGGCCCCGCCCCGGGGTCATTGATTTTCTTTATATGTGTGTATAGCAAAAACTTAAAATCTTCTTTGAAAACATCTTCTTATGGTGTCTACCAAGATTGTGCAATATAAAAGCCCTTAGGTTAAATTGGCCCTGCAACGTTGGGGGGGGGGGTGGGGCTATATACAGGTGAGCGACCTCAGGGCCATCATGGCCCTCTTGTTTTAACTCAGGAATTAATTTCTTTATTTTACAAATTTATCAAATTTCATTTTATTCTACTGATATGTTTGTAATATTTCTTTTATTTTCTATTGAAAAAATGTGTTAAACCAATATGTATTTGTTTTCTTATAATTCAGCTAGTTTTAATTATTCCAATGTTTGAAAAAATTGTTCGCCAGAACTTTACCAAAATGTTCGCCAAAATATCGCCATAACATATTTTCTGAAACTGGCAAATATGCAAATGAAGTTTGCCGCAGTGTTACCAAAAGCTTCTGGCGAACCTCCGCAAACTTACTATGCAAATGAAGTTTGCTGCAAATTTGCCGCAAACTTTTGGCGAACATCTGCAAACTTTTACCATGCAAATGAGGTTTGCAGTAAATTCGCCGCAAACAGAAGCTACCGCCCCCTATAGTTAGCGGAAAATTTGCCGCTAACCTCATTAGTTGCGGCAAATTTGCCGGAAACCTCATTTGCATGGTAAATAATTGCTGAAAGCAGTTTACTGCAAACTCACCGCAATGTTTGCGGCAAACTTGCCGCAATGTTCACCAGAGAGCCTTTTTTTGGTAAGGGGTTGTAGACTCGGTTTGATTGAGCCTGTTCATGGACGGTACTGGAAAGTGCAAGTTACCGTCAACGCCCCCTAGCACCGGCTTAAGCAGAATTCAACATTTAACACGAAAATGGTGAAATTTTGAATTTAGAAACATCCGCAGATGTGTTCATACGGCGGTTATCATGGAACCTTCAATGTGACACAGTAGTGCCATTCCATTGAAAGCGAGGTATGGTCCCCAAGTAAAAGAATGTTTTTGCCCTAAACGAGAAAAAGATGGGCGGAACTAAATAAAATGGAATTTTGAAAGGGGATCTGAGGTTAGGACACACTTGTCAATAATTTTCAGACAGTTATGTATTTCTTATACGAATTTAAATGTAGTTGTGTTGTTGCACCCGTTTAATGTTTTGAATCAATGTGATTTGGAAAAAAAACAGATATATGTCACCTTGAATTGAGATTGAAATGCTTCTGAAGTTTTGTTTTTCTGAAGTTTTTGTAATTTTGTTCATTAAATATTTTCACAAAAGAATTACTCTTTTCTAGTTAAGATATATTTAATTGAGAGAAGAATTCCCATTATTGATACATTCCAATCATAAAACATATTTTTTTAAAAATCTTATTACAATATGTAAACATGTCAGCTTGCATAAGAACATTACAAAGTGAAACCTCTCCAAAGTGACCTCTTAAGAGCGAGGACCCTTTTCAATTAAAAGCAAAATGTGTCAAAGCAAGACTTCAAAACACTTGAACCGCTCTGGAGCCATATCTCTCACAATCTCTGTTTCTTCATTCTATATCAGTCATTTAATGAACACTTGCATAGAGTAAGCAAAAAGATGAATTTACAACACAAAAAGTGACTGGGATTTGTTTCCGCCTGAAACATGATAGAGTGTTTATTGATGTCGTAAAGACGATGTTACTTTATACTCTCCATTGTTAGTCATAGCATTTTGTCAGTGATATGTTTTTATTTAATATAATATGTGCCATAAAATGTGACAAGAAACATTCGAGAAATATTGAAAAATTGCAAGCACAAATTGAATATCCTTTGCTTATATTATATGTTACTGTTTAAATTTAATACATTTCCTGTGAGTTAAGGTTACTTGAGCACAATTTTCTCATGGTGAACTATGGTGATGATGTTAAAAGATATGTTCATCAAGAGATTACGTTTCTTGAAAATTGTAACAAAATCCTTTTGTACAGAGCTCTGGTTTCAATGGCAACTAAAAATACACCTATTTTTTTTTTCAAAAACGCAAAGACTAGGGCTAAGACACTTGATATAAAATATTGTCTAGTAAACCTCTAACACGTTTGTTCAAATGACATTCGTTTGGACACAACTGGATCATGCCGAGGGTCATTGGTTTTCCTCTGTTGTATATAGTAAATACTTGGAAGAAACACTATCACCATAACATTGAAAGGACTTTAGCTTAGATGTCTGGCATAAACTTGAAACTTGAAAACTTGATTTAACGCCTATTTCTACATATAGAATACATATTCAATGGCGTTGTACAGCTATATACCTTATATGTGCTACTCCCAGTGCTACCATACACAATACTCCCAGCAGGGCGACGGTCACAGTGATTGGGTCAATCCCCACCAACATGTAACAATCTACACCCCTGCACCCCTGCACATGATAACACATGGGCTAGACTTTATTATATTATTGTACAATGAAAATAATAAAAACTGATAGAAATATACAAACATGCACAAAACACTTAGGAACAGACAATGCCTTCAGCGTCACTTAAAAAAGTGCAAAAAAGTCCTTGAAGTAAAATGATTTCAGTTGTCTTTTGAAAATTTCAACAGATTCACATTTTCTCATATTAATAGGTAGTTCATTCCACAATTTTGGTCCTATCATGCTAAAAGCTCTGTCAGAAAAAGTCCTCTTCTTATTAAAAGGAACAACATAACAACCAACAGAATTTTCAGATGATCTTAAGGTTCGTTTTGACACTTGATAAGACAAAAGCTCTATTAAATATGATGGTGCGTT